CCCACACCTGTCCTCTCTTTCACCCGAAGACCACCCCTGCGCTTCACTGTAGTCCAAGCCCACCAGCTATGGTGGTGGCTGGGCTATGGCGCTGCCCTCAGCAGCGCCCTCCTCCTCTACACAACCGCACGTCCTGCACCTCGCCTCTCAGCGCCAGCCAGCAGCTGCGAGCCTTTGCTCCTGCAGCGCTGCCGCTAGCATGCGAGTGCCTGAATGAGGCTGCCTGGAGTGAGCTCTTTCCTTCATGGAAAGAGCTGGCCTACTCGCGCAGCCTGCACTGGCCTGGGCCCAGAAGCTTCCGGAAGGCCCCAGGAGGCTGCCTGTGTGCAGCAGCTACTGGGCTGCTGGGCCTCTTTCGGTTGGGCGCCCAACTGTCTCTATATGAGGCTGCAAATCACGCCCAGGGCCTGCATTCTTTGGAAAGGCCCGGAGGGCCGTGAAAATGTCTTTGTTGCTCGGCTTGTGTTTCTCTCAACCAACTGGCGCGTCGCAACTACCTGGACCCCAAATATGAAATTGACAGTCGAGGGCCTCTTGCAAAAAGCCAGGCCCGCCTTCACTTAGGGCGGGCACCTCCGCCTTCACTGAGGGCGGGTAATGCTGCAAGCAGGGCCCAATAGGCCTACCGGGGACCCTGATCCTCGCAAATAACACATTGTCTTGAATATTTCTATTTCGCATGAACCCTGTTTGTGCGGGGTGAATGATCTCCTTTAGGATAGGGATCATCTTGTTGGCTATTGCCTTGGCCACCAACTTATAGATCACCGTAAGGAGTGTGATTGGTCGGTATTTCCTTATGTTTGTTTTGTCCCCTTTTTTGTATAGAAGGGTGAGGATCCGCTGACTCACCAGCTCACCCATATCTCTTGAGGCTTTCACTTGGCGATAGTATTCCATCAACTCCTTTGACATAGAGGACCACATCTCCTTCCTAGAATTCTTTAGGGAGCCCGTCCACCCCTGGGGTTTTGTCTTCCTCCATCTGCAGGAGGCATTCCAAATTTCCTCCTTCCGGAGCGGTTTGTCCAGAGCCTCCCTCTGCTCATTGGATAATCGTGCAGTGAGGGGGAGTAGGAATTCTGTAATTTTTCCTTCCTTTGTCTGCTTTGACTCATTGGTTAGGGTGGAAGAAAAAAGTTCTTTATAGAAATCTCTGGCCACTTTCAAGCCATGGGCCGAGGAATATGAGGTGACTTCGTGGG